TCCCCAGTGCAAAAAAATCAAACAGCCTCTTCTTAGTATTAGTCAGTGTGCTTCAAGCTTACAAGTTGTTACTGTGAAAGAGTCAAAAAGAAAATCCCCCCGGGCACTTTATAAAGAGGTAACAGACAACAGCTTGAAAAGGAGGATAATCACGGAACTAATCATTATCGCAAAGTTGTTACGCTTCCATCGAAACATTATAGATGATTTAGGAGATTGGTTGTTTCGACCCTGGCTGTCAGAGTCACTCCTGGGTGAGCGGATACGTCCTTCCACAGACAAACTGAGGTACTTGACCAAAAAAATGAAAAACTCCCAACAGGCGTATCAAACTTAAATTTTCTTCATGTAACAGTGAGGAGCCTAACCATAACACCACTGACGCTGGTATCCTGTCACAGGAAAATATTAACAGAGATGCCAGCAGATCAAGAGAATTCGACATTTGAAGGAAGGTATAACATTACAAAGAAACCAACAGATCAAGAGAATTCCACATGTGAAGGGTCGACTTGTGAAGGAAGGTATAACACAACAGATCAAGAGACATCGACTTATGGAAGAAGGTAAAACATAAGAGATCAAAAGAATTCGACTTGTGAAGGATGATACAAACGTAAGAGAGTAACTTAATGTGACTTGAGAATGAAGATATAACATACAATATCAAGAGAATTCAACTTGTAAAGGGCATGCCCTACGTACCCTTCAAGTGTCTCTGGGTTCTCGTAGCTCCCAGGGAGAACGTTGTTGCTCTGTCCATCGTCCACGTAGTCCGGCAAAGGCTCTTCGTAGTCTGGTTCTGGCTCCATCTCAATGTTACGTAATTTTTGCAGCTGACTCACCTTGAGAATAATGTCTTTTACCTGTAAGATATCAAGAGTAAGCGAGATTTTGAAAAAAAGGAAATGTCCTTATAGACAGACTGAGATACTTGGCAAAAAAAACCCTAACACTTCGATCGAACTGCAAAACCTGCTTGTTTGATGAACTGGATCAAACTGATTTTTCCATTCTGGTAGTAGATGACTCAGGTCAAGAAAAAAATGCCAATGACGTTAAACAATGTGGCTGGTATTTTTTATATGAGCTACATTTTCGTTTGTCACGCATGTGTTGTGACGCACAGATACTTCACTGTCGTACACGGGAGACCCAAGTTCAAAAAGCGAATTTTTTTATCCAGTATTTCGGTCTTTCTGCAGGGAAAGATCCCCTTCAGCCCGGGTTGGCCCTGACAGGCAAGGTCGGAAGCCCACCTCCTAAATAATCTAAATTGTGTCGATGCAGGCGTAAAGTCACGACATTTTCTTTTGTTACAATAACAAACCATTATATAATGTAACAAAAATATGTGACAGCATTCTGAAAAACTTGCCGTACATAGAGACAGACAGTCAGAAAGACAGACAGACAGACAGACAGAACACACACACACACACACACACACACACACACACACACACACACACACACA